ATTATATGTTATTAGAGGTCTTAAGGTATGTTGTGGAGATGTGAGTTAGATCACGTAATAGGTGAGAAGCTTTATGTATGTGTTTTTTGTATCAGAATGATAATGTCCTCTCAACTTTAGCATTGAGGAATTTATAACCGAATTGAGCCAAAATCCTAGGCCACTTGGAAGTAGTAATAACTTCTAAATATTCAGGGGAATGAGGTTAACCTCCCTGTGACTAATTATGCATTACAATTGATCACAGACACATCACTTCCTCATTCTCCCACATCATGAGAGTTATTTTGGAAATGGGTGATGCATTCAATAAAGGGGTGACACATTCGATAAACAAGAAGTCGCCTTATTAAAGGGTGTTCAGTAGGTCCTTATTGAGAGGCATTGCTTCCCTCATGTCTCCTCCTATATACTCCCTACAAATATACTAGTAAAATATTTATAAATAGAACATAAATGACACATTGTGTACCATGTATCTATAAACACACTATGGAAAAACTTACATAGGGTATTCTAACTACGAACTTAAGAGAAATAAGCAGAACAACATGAAGAGAGAAAAAGGAGCTCAAATATCATTAATAAAACCTCTTTGGGTGTATTTAATCATTATATAAAATCTCTTGAGGCGTAAATAAAAAGGCTCCAACAGAAAATCAACAAAAGAGAAAACCGAAAAACAAGATCCCGAGCTCACTGGTCATCCTCTTAGGGTCGCCTTTGTTTTGAAGGAACTCCTTGGAAAACATCAACATCCTTGGAAGTTTTGTTTGTCCCATCCTTGGCGCCCTAAGGTTAGTCATAAAGGCACCCCTTAGAAGAAGGTTTAAAGGCATTAGGAGTTGGCATTGCCTCTTCATCCATCAGCTGGCCATCATGTAATATCTTAAATAAATCCATCTTACTCAAGTCACGGCCAAGGTAAAGAATGGATATCTACTCATTTTCCTGCTCAAATTATTGAACAGAAATATCCATCAATTCGTCTTTGAGGGAGGATAATTCTTATTCCAGTTTCTCATTCAAATGAAGGGCAACTGTGAGGGACTCCATCAGGTTTTTCTCGGAAAGGGCGGGTGCTCGGGCCTCTAATGCCACATTTTTTAGAGTATCTTTAAGTGTTTCCTCTGAACGCTTCAACTCATGTCACTCTTTTACCCAAAAAAATTATTATCTCCTGCCCTTGGGTCAAATATTCCTTGGTAATGGCAAGCTTCCAACAATTTTTGCATGACTCTCACAAAGCACTCGTTCCATCAACATGCCCCTAAGCATTTGATTCTCTACCATGTCAGACAACTTCAGAGTCGTTATTTGACTAATCTTCTGGAAGTCACTGGGAAAGTCTTCATGGAAAGAGAGACGAGTGTCAGTATATTTTATTGCATGGAGCATTGCATCACTTCACAACAAGGAGTGTTGGGGCAGGTCGGCCCAAATTTTCTAGCTAGTTTGTGGTTCACCTTCTTCGTCCTGTTATAGAAATATATTGGTGATTTCCTCTAGGGCCAGTGAAGAACTCGTATTTTGTTGAAAGTATTCCTTTTAGTGGGTTTCTTTCCTAATTTTATGATGAGGTCGCCCTTGTGACTTTTGGGGTTGTTAGTCCATTATGTTGACACTCAACCTTTTTTTGGCCAAGTGAGCCTTCCTCTCAACAATCAGAATGGACAAAAACTTTCGCAAAAAGGAAAAGGAAAGTTATAAATAACTAGGTGAATACATTGTCTTTTCCTTTATCTACAGTCTCAAACTTAGGCGAATACATTGTCTTTTCCCTTATCTAATTCAATCATGGTACGTGAGCTCATAACCTTGAATTCATCCAAAAAAAATGAACTACCCTCCTCTCAATATGGGTAAGGTCATCGAAGTTCAATCCAGTTATTACCACTGGGTCCTCTATCCAAGTCAGAGGAAAGTGAAGGGCACCATCTTCCCCAGTTGTGTACATTGAGGCGCCATCTCACCCTTAACTCTCACAAACTTATCTTTTTAATTTTTGTAATGTTTAGAGTGATACTTAAATATTGTCCTACCATAATGGGCATACAACGTCACTCAACAGGTTTTGGTATCAATCTTAGTGTCGTAAAAGGAAAATAATATCCAAATAGTCGGGTTAGCATCCAATTGCCAACATATAATCTCAAAGACCCTAATAAATCCCCGACTGTTTGGAAAAATCTAGAAAGAGCGGCATTTGCAGTCATTAGAACCTCCTTTCGAACAAAGTAAAGGGAATCAAAACCTCTAAATGTTGAATAATGGGAAGGTGCGGTTAAAAGTAGGGATTGTGTGAGTCAGGTAGGGTGGCCATCTTAGCCCATTCAGCATACGCTTCCAAAATAATATCATCTTCGTCGCCATAATCGAAGAGGTTGATGTGTCTCTGAAAGAAGGGCACCCTCTCCTCACATGTGCATTGGGTTCCAAAGTCTTCAATGCTCATGTATTTAAATTTGGTAGCCACCATTAGTTATTTTGTGTTTCTTAGGAAAGAACATGAAGAAAGAGAGCCATTATCACTCATATAACTATTAGTGCTTTCATAATTCCCAAATATGCCTATTTTAAGAACCTATAGTCAAATGAACCATCTTACTTTTCAACATTCCTCATAAAATGTAAATATATTTCAGACCATTCTCTATTATTTGAAGGCTTTATCACCTTACCGCTCTCATATAAATCTGTAATGATTTCCATTAAATAGAAAAAATAAAGAGAGGAGGAGCAAATGCATATACTTGTGGATAAAGGATTGAGAGTTAAATTTGGAGGAACTGGGAAGCAAGTTCGCTTTGAGCTTGATGAAGGTTTATATGAAAGCTCGAAGGAGAAAATATCCACACATAAAAAAGGAGGAGTGAAGGATGAACCCCTCTTTATATGGATTTGAGTGTTAGGCCTATGGGTAATGAGTAAACTCTTACTAGGTAGATCAACGGTCCTAAAAAGATTACCCTCGTCTCTAACACGTGCAATGAACCCATGTCGATTTTCCTTCCCAAACCCATCATTAGTTACATTTAATGTTATGTGTGTGTGTCTTTATCTATAATGCTTGAAGACTTACCTTAAGTTCTGCTTGAGCACTCACCCCAAGTTCTGCTTAAGAGACTCATTCCAAGTTCTGCTTGAGGGACTTGCCCTAAGGACAACTATAACTTCACTTAGAAAGTAGCCAAACGTGAAAGTTGGGGGCGATCGAACAAAATTACTTTGTTCTTTACAAGGCCTAATGCTTGAGGAATTGCGTTCTGTTATGATTGTATTGGCTAAGAAGGAACATTCCATGTAAGGAAGACAAACATGCTAGTAAGGGAGAGTTGCCTTATGAAGCCACTGGCCGCCCGAAATGGGCCATAAGGTCTCTTGGATTCTACTAGTCACCCACTAGTTGAATTTAACCCATATGAACTCACTTTTATTACCCACTCTCCCAAGGAACGTGTGAGGTGACGTGTCCCATCGTAACGAATTGGAAGAAATGATCAACATGATCAAAGGAAGAATAACTCCCTCACTCTTCACATTTATGAGGGGGAAGAGGTAGTCATCATCTTATCCAGACCTAAGGAGTCTTTATAAATGTCCTAATCATAAGATTGAAAAAAAAAAGACGATTATTCACCTAGAAACCACGGATACAGAACTTTTCACTAGTATGCGTGAGCTAGCTCTAAGCACTATTAACAACCCTAAACATCACATACAACCCCGCAAATACAAGATTACTCATATTGTACATTTTTAACAAGTGAAATAATACTATTTTGTTGAATATGTACTCGCCATCCAACCAATCTATGTAATGTCATATATTAATATTAATTTATTTATAAATAAATTAAAATTTTAAATCAATTTATTTTAAATATACTGATATTTATAAAATAAAATAAAAACTCAAACATTTTTAAAAATTTACCATGAAAAAACTCTTCCCTCTAAAAGTACTCATTCTACTTTATCCTTTTTTTTTTCAAAATTCCCCCTTCTAAATTTTAAGTACATTTTAAACCATGTGTATGTTTGGTTTCTATTTTAAAAGAGGCAAAAACAATTTTAAAGTATGGAATTGATGTTAACGTGTTTAATTTATTTTAAAGTTGAATTGATTATGCCTTAATAGCTAATTGTATTTAAAGTTAGAATTTGTAGTTTTATAGTTTAATCACAATTTTTATATGAAAGTTATTGTTCAACTAAATATATTCAATCATAAATTACTTTATCTTCAACTCAAAATTTATCTTCAACTCTCTTTTAATCGTAATTAATTTTATAAAATCAAATGTTTTAAAATCAATTATCATCCCCTGAAAACTAAAGATATAAAGATATGATATATCACATTCTCTAAAACACAATGACCTTTTCAATATCTCAATATGTGATGGAATAAAATAAAATAGAGTGGTAAATAACATTATTTCATCATTTGGATTTATTAACAATAGATGGAGTGGAATGGATAATAGAATTCATTTTATTCTATTTCATTCAATCATTCATTTTTATTCTATATGATTTTTGGTGTATGCAATGAAATAAAATACTCAACCAATAGAGGAAAATCTATATTCAAACAATAGAGAGAAATCTAGAGAGAAATCTATATTCTATTCCACTCACTCCATCTCATTTCCTTATATTTCCATCAATCCAAACATAGTCAAAATATACAATAACCTTAAGTTTATTATAAATTTTTTGTATCCAAAAAAATCTAATAACATTTTCAGATGCAAATGAGGAAGTATATATGTATGCGTGATTTGATACCAAAAAATTGCTCATAACATACCAGATTAAATCAATGCAAGCCAAATCAGAGATACCCTATAACATTAAAGCATAAACACGTCAACTTGTCTCACTTTTATTTTGAAAATATTTCATTCCTCAAAGCATGGGAGTTTCTGCAACATTTCAACAAAACAGTCCCTTAAGTTTCTTTTCCCTTATTACAAATTTGACAAACAAACAACCTAAGCAGAAAACTTTTCTCTGTCATGGGGAGCAGAATAATCGATATTTGGTCCCACAGGAACGATCCCAAATGGATTGATAGAAGGATGACTTCCATAGTAATGTAACTTTATATGTTCCATGTTCACCGTTCTACTAATGCCAGGAACTTGGAAAATATCTTTGGTATAGTTGAAGATATTCGGGTATTCCCGCAGTAGCTTCTTGTTACACTTAAAGTGAACCGCATAAACCTGCAATTACAATTACAACTATATGACTAATTATCCAAAAATTAACATTTAAATGGGAAGATTGTAGCAAAATGAGTCTACCTCGTCAAATCGAATGAGTGTGACAAACAATCGAATGTCTGCTTCAGTAAGCTTGTTGCCACATATATAGCGTTGCTTGCTTAGTATATCTTCGCATTTGTCCAAAGCTTCATATAATCGTGTAACAGCCTGCACAAAGGACCAAATGAACACACATTCAAATGCGAACTTTAAAGTATGATTGACACCTAAAACTTTTAATGATAGAGCTACATACATCAACATATGGCTCCTGTTTCTTTGCAAATCCACATTTATAAACACCGTTGTTTATATCATGATATGTCCACTCATTCGTTTCATCAATTTGTGCTCTCAATTCAGTGGGATACAGATCCAAAGCGGGATTCTCTGCAATATTGTTGAATTCAGTATTAAACATGCGGATTATCTCCGAGCTTTCGTTGTTAACGATTGTCTTGAGTTTCTTATCCCACAGAATCTGTGCAGATCAAAATTCATTAGCTAACAATAAACATCTGTTGAGTAAAGCAGATCAGAAAAGCGAAGACATAAACAAGTCCATTCTAAAGCGAGAAAACCTACTGGAACGGTGAACTTTCCGGAGTAGTTTGTACTTGCGATTTCATAAAGTTCTCTAACACTCTTTGCTCCATTCAGGGGATCGGGTTCAGCTCCAAGAACCTCGGTATTCGATTCAGGAAAAACCCATCCCACATGTTGATCTGATTCTTTCGTTATTCCCCATATCGGTTTGACCGCCTGTTAATTAAACGTGCAAGATATGAACTTTCTAGGAGAAACTATTGAAAATTGAAATCATTCTACTTGCAAATATTAAGAAAAAAAAAACCTACGAACCGAGAAACTGATGGCTTTGTCAAGTCCTTTGATCTTCAAATAAGCTAGGCATCTGCAAGCCCAAGGACAAGCATATGATATGTAGAGATGATACCTTCCTGACTCAGCCGGAAATTGGGAATTAAGATCCCTGGAAACGAATTGTCGGAATGTGGAAGCAGTTCTCGTGAACGCTCCGGAGTCTGATATCTCATCCAATGAAGATCGCGCCATTTCAACAATATTCTAATGCTAAGCAAAAGATATTATAATCAACAATCACAAACAGCAGAAAACATTCAAAGCAAAACCTAGTTAAATCCAACCGCTAAGACTTAACCAAAACCTTCAAAGCATGAAGCCCTAATAAATTTCATGATCAGTTCAAACTTGAAATTGATTATAAAAATCTTCAATGAATGATCATATATTGGAATCAATTATTGTTATTGAAACCTAAAAGAAAGAGAGAAAGAGAAGGTGCGGTGTTTTTTTCTTTACCTTGTAGTTACAGGTGAAGCGGTGGGAGAACGAAGAGAAGGTAAAGGAGCTTTTGGGGAAGTGCAGTGATCTTGGACAGAACATGCTTTATGTAAAATACAAGTAAAGGAAAGTTTGAATTGAGAAACAAAGAAAGAAAAATCAAATTTAACACTACTTGTACATATTTTTAAGTAGAATAAGATTGTTACGTCAACATGACCAACATATATCATCACTAAATCAAATAATCCATAAGAGGACAAAAAAGTTAATACTGTCTCGTAATCTCATTTGCAATTTTTCTCAATATTATTATTTTTTATTAATATAGTCTATTTATTAACTTTTACTTTATTCAACAATTTTATTAACTATAATTAATTAATTAATTAATTATTCTAATAAATAATATTAATTTTATTATTAAAATGTTTATTTATTTTTAAAAATTATGCATTGTTTAAATAGAATATTTTTTTATGAGACTGATGGTATAATAAATATTGAAAAAATTAGGTTAATAGTTACACTTTAGTCTCGTATATAAGAAAATTAAAATAGATAAAAAAACTCCCTCTATAAAAAAAATTAGAATGCATTTAATTCTTACGCGCTTTTTAATTTTATTCATATTTTTTCTTAAACATAAAAATGTTAAAAGATATGAATATAATTAGAATAGTAATATAACTATATATGACTTCTTTTTATATTTAATATCATAAAAAAAATTTGTTGCTAATATTTAAAACCAGCAATTGTAAATACAAATATTAAAACTCAATAAAGTGTTAATTGATTAAGTAGTTAGTAGTAAATTAGGTTGGTGAAAGGAGAATTATTCAAAGCAAGGTTGGCTAAGAAAAGAGGTAGAATGATGCGGAGCTAACATTCCATTGTACTATTTAGAAATTAGACGAAGTGGGAACATTATAATTTTTCATTTCATTTTTATCCTTTACTTCAAAAACATTATATATACTTCACTTCAAAAAACATTATATGATTAATGAAAGTAAAATCTTAAAAATAAAATAATTGTAATTCTGATACTAATTTATTCCATTCCATTGATTACACCTCAGTTTGGATGGAATGAAAAATGAACTAATATATAATGAACAAAACATTTATTTTTTCCAGAGCCAAACAATAAAACATGGTATCATTCCACTACATTTCATTCCATCAATTAAAATAAACCCTACAAGAAATGTCTCGAGGAGCCTTAAGAAAATTAGAAAGTGGTTATTGCTTGAACGTGTGAGCAATTAGCTAATAGCCATTGATAAATATCTCCACAATGTTTAGGATTCCAACGTGAACAAAACATATATTTACTAGAATAAATTAATACTAATAACCATGATCTTATTTCTTCGTTGACAAATAAAAATATATCAGCTACACTCAGTTCCAACAAAACCGTTCCTTGATGAGCCACTAGATCTCTAATACATACACTGTTAGTTGTAACATATGAACATTCCATAACTTGCCATTCTCTACAAAGCTTTAACTATATTTTAGCTCTTTTAACAGAGGAGTTCAACCCATTATTCAACTACAAATATACAACATAATTTAGTGACATGACTTGCAGACATCAATGAAGAGCTGCAACTTTGGGATAACTTGGCATTTAATTTACAGTAACTCCAAGCATCGGATACATGCATAATTCATAAGCCTGGCCACAAGGCTATCTGGTTCTGGGATGAGAGCAGAAGTCAAGCTGTTCCAAAAGTGAAATGTCAATGACTCGTGCAGTATTCTTTCAAGCAAAACATCTTGCCGTGCTTTCTCCGTCTCTGTTGCTGGTGCAACGAAGTATCTGTTTGCAGGTTTATAATTCAGTTAAGGAACGATAGTACGAAGGCAAAACTAAATAAAAAGACAAGGCATTGTTACTCTCCAAAGTTCAAATTAGAATTGAATGCCTCCATAAGTATTTCTAATCAACCAACCCTATCTCAAGTATATTCTTAACCAACTGAGAGAAATGTCAAGTTACCTTGTAATGTCCTGAGAATTGATGGGGAAGAAGATATGAGAGGGTTCTTCGTTCAACTCCGACCGTTTAATAGTTTTGTTCTTTTCTCCTTCAGACTTTCGTGCAACCCTTGTCAATAGGTCAGCTCCATTCCATCTCAAACTGTTATCGTCATATGTCATATAGAACTCTTCCAAGCACTTCTTTATGAACAGACTGCATAGAACAAAGAATGGATTTCACATAATGTCCCATATTCCACAAACTAAATTAATCACATTTTCCCCCGTCAATCTACCATTCAAATTCAAATTGGTTATAAAAAGGCATGGCTGAACACAATTTAAACCAGAACGCTCATAAATTAACCTTAAATTCTTTTACACAATATTTCAAATCAATGCATGTTTGTAAAACTGTAATTGGCCCTACCTAAAATTTTAGACCTCACTAATTATAATTTTATATTCAAAATTTGCAATATCCATTTAACCTCATATTGATGCTATTGAATGTAATCTTTTTCGAAGCTTTACTCTTGTAGGTAGGAAACTATTTCTCAAGATAAGTGGTTTCCTTTGTTAATTAAGAGAAAACATCAAACATCATAGTAGACATAATGTAAATTTAAAAATTATCAGCCAATAACATTTCAGGAAAGAGTGGTGGTACAGGTCCCCAATCCCCATACTCATAGGTAGAAAGATACACAGTACACAAGCTGTTGGAAATATATGCAATTAAATGAAGGTTTCTATTTGCTTAGGAAATGGAAAAGATCACGACTCAATCTCATAATAAAAATCGTTTCCAACTACACGCCAACTAAGCCTCATCTCATTAGGGATGTTTGGATACCATAGCAACTGCGTGTTATAAAAACAGACAAGAGAAAACGGAGGACAAAAGCAATCCTCTTAAATGATCAGTTCATTATAGATTCATGAATATGAAATTTGGAATTTTCATTTTAATAGCTTCCTTGGAAATCACGTTTACAAAAAGAAAACATTCTGGCACAAAAAGAACCACGCTAACAATACCTGTGCCTTCCAAAAGCCATCACAGCACCATTCAAAGAACTTCCAGCAGCATGATCCTCTATTCCAACGGAGTTATTAAGGAAAGAAATTGGCTTCAAAACTATGATATCAGAGTCTAGATAGATCCCACCATACCTGATAAAACAGAAGACAGTGTTATTGCATATCCCAATATGTAAACATATGAATAGTATTTTCAACAGGGAATTGTGGTAAATAGAAAACCACCATGTGAAATTGCAAATAACTACGAACAAATAGTAAAATCCGTGGTGGTTGAAATAAGTCGTTTATATAAAACAAAAAGACATGCTGCATACACATCAGAGTGAATATAGGAGTAATGCTAGCTAACTCTCAATTTTTTCTCAATTTAAAACCCTCAAATTCTCTCTTTTTTCTTTTTGCTAGTGAATGCTAAATTCCTAATAGCAAAACTAGGATAGTGCCAAGGTTCTCATAGCGGATTTATTACAATCCACTATATTACAGCATTGTAGGGTCGCTATTCAACTCATACAGCAAAGCTGAAGGAAACACCATCCATCCACAAAATCGGCTTACAATAACAACCAAACCAAGCAATCCATATCTACTAATACAAGCCAACACAACAAGGAAAACTTACTTATACAGAGCTGCAAGTCGAATAAGCTCACTGTAATGAGTGGAATAAAACTTTGTCTTTCTCCATTCAAACCAAACAGAAGAAAAAACGTTGGCAGGTGTACCCTTCAGGAGCTGGTCAAGATTTGGCATAACAACCGCGACTTTGTAACTGAAAAACAAAATCCTTATTCCTTAGCAAAAAAATATCAAATTTAAACCACAAAAGCAACTACCATGCAGCAAAACATGAAATTGAAGAAACAACAAAAATTACCCATCCTTAAGAAAGCTATCTTTGAAGAAATCAAGCTCAATTGTCTCCGAGAACACCACAACACATGCATTAGGATGGTGAAATAGCAAACTCTCGAGTCCCCGCTGATGCCGAACTGTGAACATCCAAGGAGGTGAATTCCACACCATAAAAACTCTCATGACGCATTTACCCTTTCTGAAGAACGAATCCATGAAGTCATTGAACGATAAACGCAGTGGCAAACCAGGAAAATAACCCCAATTATTACCATCGGCATAAATATGTTGATGATGATTCAAAAACTCAACAGCATCACTATTATCATTCAAAGTCCTTCGTTCTGTTCCACCTTTAGCAACAGTAACTAATTTACCATTGTTATTAGTGTTCTTGTGAGGCGAAAACGAAAACGGAACTCTCTTGAACTCATTGATCCACCATTTATGGAGGATTTTGTCACCTCTAGTGAGGGAAGAAACACCAACAGAGTCAGGATCTTGAAGCAGAGGATTGAGCATTGGATTGAAAGCTTCGAAACTGGATTTCAGCATTTTGTCTTTTCTGAGAAAGAGACCTTTCTTATCGAACCATTCACCCCAGACTTCTCTCAAGGAAGATGATTTGAGAAGAAGCAAATCCTCGATTGATTTAATGACTGTGGCTTTACGTCTGATGTTATCGTCGAGGGGAATGTCGTCGGAGGTGAAGGCGGACTTGGAACGATCTTCCGGAGTGGAGAAAGTGGAGAAAATGGCGAATTCATCGTCGGTGGTGGTGATGGAGTCGGAGAAAATGGAAGGAGATTTGAAGGATTTTCTGATGGAGGATGTGATGGGATCGAAGAAGTAAGAGGAAGGATTGGTGTGAAGAGGTTGGGATTGTTGTTGTTGTTGTTGTTGGTCGACGTCGATGAAGTCGAGTTCGTCGATGGGATCGGAGGTGGAGAGATCGGAGTCGTCGGTGTCGGAGAGGAGAGTTCGGGGGTTGGAGTGGGAATCTGAGTGGGAGACAGAAAGACGAGAGTAGAGGAGAGAGACTGAGAGAAGGAGCAGGACGGCGGAGATTACGGCGCAGAGATAGGCGCCGTAAGGAGCCCGCCGCCGGGATCGCAGCATTGTTTATTCAAGTCAGCTCGAGAAATGTTAGTTGAAAGTATCTCCGGTGTTTGGGTTTTTTTTCTGTATTTGGTCTGTTTTAGTCT